CCCCAAAACCCCAAAACCCCAAAACCCCAAAACCCCGAACTTTTTTAAATAATTGAATTATGCCACGGTTTTTTCAAAAAGGACTGAAGAAATATGTCAGTAAGAAAAGAGACAATGTAAGACATTACTTAGTAGAATTTTGTTTGTGTTAGGTCTCAAAATAATATTGATCCATAGACAACCTCTATGCAGAATTTAAGCCAAGAAGAACAGATGTCATCACTATATCAAAATTTGACAAGACAGCAATATGAGCAAATGGGAATGAGCTCATCAAAAAGGATAACTGAAGAAGCATTTCCAGAAGATAAAAGTTGGAGTTCTGATTCAGAAAGCGAAGAAAAGAAGAGAGAGGCCCATCGAGAAAGTCAACCTTTACCAGATGATTTGCAAGATAAAAGTATGTCAGGTATGCAGTAAAATATTTTCTTTGCCTTATCGATATAGAGTCTAGCGAGCCTGAAGGATCATTACAACAACGAGATAATCAACATGGTAACATTTTCCTGTAATCATTAGCCATGTCCAAATCAACTAAACTATTCGATTCATCAAAAATTAATCCAGAAAAAGAGAATAATGCTCGCAAAACTGAGAAATCAGTCTTTCCTGAAGATGTCACTGATGAGTCTTCTGAAGAGGAGGAGAGTGATATTCCTCCTAAAGAGGAGACAAAAGATGACCCAAAGGAAGAGACGAAAGAAGATAACAAAGCAAGGGTAAGCATACATTTTCTCTGGAATTTGATATCTCTATCTAAGCTTGCAAAATTAAGAAGCTTTTAAGAATGTTACAAGCATATTTCTTCTTTATTCTAACTTTTGCAATTTTCCATAATAACATGATCTTCCTAATTCTCCCTAACATTCAAAAAATTTGAATCTCTAAGTTTTTGCAAGCTAAAGTTTTTAAATACTTATCGTGGAAATTTTAGACTAGAGAAAGACATAAGTCAAATAGAGAATCCGTATTTCCAGAGGACATAAGTGCTGAAGAGCTTTCTTCAGGTAAGCTATCACCTTTATACCGTCCCTAACTCCTCTCTTTGCATAACCCCTGACTAATCTCCTCTTCAGATCCCTATAAGCTCCATTCCTCAGAGAGTTTGGGGCAAGACAATGCTCTCAACCTCCAAAATCTCGCTAGGGACCAACTTGCTTCCCAAAAATCTGACTATAGTCCTCTTAAGCACAGCGACAACATCGAGATGCGCCGTGGTAGGGGCGATCAGGATAACACCTACGATCACCAAGAGCCAGATGGCGAGTACATCCGTGATGGCGCGCCGATGGCCACAAGCCATATCTCACAGAACTCCAAACGCACCTCCGAAATCAGTGACATTGTTCATGGAGACATCCTTGCCGACGATGCTGAAGAGTTCGACTACGGCGTGGCTAAGCGAGAGTCTGAACTCAGAGATGCAACTAGTCGTAAGACCTCTCACAAATATAGACCTTGCCGAAGTCAGCGTTGATGATCAAGAAGACGAGCAGCAAGATGCCAGGTTCTGGAATGGAGCCCCAAGCGACTGGGGAAGCGACCTTGACAAGGACATTGAACAGATGACAATTTTCAGAGGTAAGTCTTTCCTTGTGATATACATTTGGAGGTTTGAGCATATAATAGACGAATTCGATCAGAAGCTGATCTCGGATAGAGAAAATACCATAGAAGAGTATCAGAAAAATCTTGATAAAAATTTTGTTGAATTGAAGAGGTTTATCAATACAATTATGGGCTCTTATCCTCCAGGGTTCTTCACTTATTGATATATTATCCCTGAGTTTAGAAGAGAGGATAACTTTCCTACTCAATACTTTGGAGAAGGTGATAGATACCCAATGAGGAGAAGGATTGCTAAGCAAAGGTTTAAAGAGCAACAGGAGAGTGAAAGTAATCGAGATTCGACAACAGATACTGAGCCTCTTCAGCAATACAGACAGCCTACTAAATTTGATCACATTGTTAGGGTCAATGGAATGACAGCAGCATATATTTACGCTGATTTGAGAATGTTCAAACCCAAACAGCACAAAAAAGTGAGACTATGTGAAAGGAGATTGATTCAAATAAGAAAGAAGATGGAGAAGGAAAGAATTCAAAGAGAAAGACAGCAAAGATAAACCTAAGCGCAACTAAAAAGTTAAGGCTCTCAATTTAAAAATAATTTTCAATTTATATTTGGATGATAGGGGTTTTGGGGTTTTGGGGTTTTGGGGTTTTGGGG